AGAATGATCTTTTGATTAACATGAAAAATGTCATTCTTAAAATATGATTGCAATTTCTTGGAATAAAGCATGTTAAAATGATCATTCATAAGAAATATATTTGGTTCGAATTTATGCAAACTTAATGGTGCTATCAAAACCATGAACTGAGATATATGGAACAAATCAGTACAAAAAGATGGTTGTTCCTGATTACATGGTGATCAGTAGACCTGTAAACAGGTCGGGTTTATTGGGTTTGGGTCGGGTTTAACCCGACATGTTAAGTTAACGGGTCATTCGAACTCAATTCGTTAAGCTAACAGGTCATCCAAACCCGACCCGTTAAGCTAACGGATCACCCGTTTCACCCGTTAACAATTATTATTATTATTATTTTTTTGCATAGAGTTTATATTTTGTTGTTAAGACTTTATTGAAATTATTAAAACATCCTCAACTAACGGGTGTTAACGGGTCTAACGGGTTGATCCAAAGTGACCCGTTATCTAACGAGTTGTTAACGGGTTCACCCATTAGCAACCCGACCCATTAAGCATCCACCCAAATACTAATATTAATGGGTCGGGTCGGGTCTAAAATGCCAGGTCTAGTGATCGGTCCATGGTTTATCTTGAAACCCTTAATCCTATATGCGCCTATCAACTGTTTGTTGTTAAGATTGTATATATGGATATTGGTTATAAAGCTTTGATGTGCAATAGACTATGGAAAAAAAAAATAGAACTCTAAATGTTCATATGGTGATTTCATATTCATCAGTGTCTGCAATACTGATGAGGAGCTTAAACTTGGCAAATATTCTGATCCTTACCGGTGGTGGCAACTACAAGAAGTGGAGAAGGGATATCAGTTTACTATTGACTTTAAATGAGTTCGATATAGCAATTGATAATCCTAGGCCTGTCATAAGTGATCAAAGTATCAGGGCAGAAAGATCAGATTTTGAGAGGTGGACAAGGGCCAACAAAGTAGCACTTTCCATCTTAGAAGCTGGGATGACTGATACCATTAGATGAGGAATCAAGAAACCAGAACTGGATGTGGACTATTTGGCTGCAATTGAAAAGAAATTTAAAGAGTCTTAAAAGGCAGAAGTGAGCCAATACATGTCCTTGCAAACTACATACAAAATTGAAGGTACTGGCTCTATAAGAAATCATATAATGAAAATGACAGATGATGTTGAAAAGTTGAATTCCATGGATGTAAACATTGGAGAGAAGCAACTTGTGTTTATGATCCTTCAAGCCCTCCCCACAAAGTATGGTCAGTTGAAAGTCTCCTATAATACACAAGAGAAAAGCTAGGATATAGATGAACTAATTGCACAATGTGTGCAAGAAGAAGCCCGGCAAAAGCAAGAGAAAGGCAAGGAGATTGAAGAAGCAAACTATGTGTAATCTGGAAGAGATAAGAGATCATTCAACAATGGTGGCTCTTCTGGTCCTGGTAAGAATTCTAAATTCACTAAAAATTCAAACAAATTCAATATATCTGCTAAAGTAAATGACTCCCCTAGAAAATCTATCAAATTTAAGGCTAAACCTAAAGATGTGTCTAAACTTAAGTGTTTTTGGTGCAAGACTAAAGGGCACCTAAAAGTTAATTGTGAATTTTTTAAAGATTATGTTAAGATCAAAGAGAAAGAACAAGTACATGTCCGTGTTGAGTCAAATCTTTATGAAGTACTTGTTGACTCTTGGTGGTTTGATACTGGATGCTCAGTACACATAACTAACTCTTTGAAAGGTTTTAAAAAACAAAAGGAAATTGGAAATGCTTTGTATCATGTCTATGTTGGGGAAGGGACTAAGGTTGCAGTGGATTCCATAGGGATAGTCAATTTGAAACTGACACCTGGTTTTGTTTTACAATTAAAAGATGTGCTCTATGTGCCCAAAATGAAAAGAAACTTGGTTTCTGCTTCTAAAATAATAAAAGATGGTTATGCATTCTCTGCTGATGATGTATGTTTGAAAATCTTTAAAAAAGACTATTTTGATAAAATTTTGGGAATTGCCATTTTGTCTGAAAATCTCTAGCATCTAGATTGTCTAGTTGAGTATGTTGACCACTCAGTTTTAAACTTTAGTTCAAAGAGAATGCTAGAACAAGATACTTTTTATATTCTTTGGCATAAGAGATTAGGGCACATCTCTAAAGAAAGAATTCTTCAACTTTCTAAAGCTGAATTGATACCAAAATTAGATCATGCCACTGCAACAGAATGTGTTGATTGCTTAAAGGGTAAAATGACCAATTTTAGGAAATTAGATGCTAAGAAAAGTCAAGGGTTGCTTGAAATCGTACACACTGATATTTGTGGCCCTTTTTCCAGTCAAAACAATATGTGGAAAAAAGTATTTTGTTAACTTTAAATATGTGGAAACAAGTATTTTGTTAACTTTATAGGTGATTTCTCTAGACTAGGATACACTTTTCTTATTAGTGAAAAGTCTGATGCCCTTAAGTGCTTTATTATTTACAAAACTAAGGTTGAAAAATAGTTAGGTAAAGTCATTAAAATTGTTAGATTGGATAGGGGAGGAGAATACTTTGGCAGGTACACTGAATCAGGACAACAAAATGGACCATTTGCACTTTACTTGGAGCAAAATGGCATTGTAGCTCAATATACAACATCGGACACACCTCAACAAAATGGAGTCTTAGAGATAAGGAGTAGGACTCTAATTGGCATGGTAAGAAGTATGATGACAAGATCGAAGTTGCCAGGATTCTTATGGGGAAAAGCCTTGAAAACTGCCAACTACATTCTCAACCAAGTTCCAAGTAAATCAGTCTCTTCAACACCTTTTCAAATATGGCATGGTAGAGTTCCTAATTTTGGCTATTTTCATGTTTGGGGATGCAAGGCTGAAGCTAGATTTTACAACCCAAATGAGAGGAAGTTGGATCCCATAACACAATCGTGCTATTTTATAGGTTATCCTAAAAAGTCGGGTTTCGATTCTACATACCTAAGGGTCATACAAGAATCCAGGAGACACACAATGCAGTTTTTCTTAAAGATCAAGATGTTTCTGATTTGACAAAAGAAAACTTTAATTTTGAAGAGGTGGATCAGTCGCATGATATCTCTGAAGCTACCAACTACAACCAGGTCACATTATTCCGTCAATCATCATTAACTGAAGGATAAGAAATAATTGCAGATTTGGAGTCTCCTATAAATCAAACTATGGAAATTGATCACCAAATACCTGCACCTGCATCTGTTTCAGATTCAGAACAACTAGTTTTAGTTGAGAACCAGCTTTTGTTTGAACCAAGAAAGTTAACCAGAGTTAGGAAATTGACAGCTGTGAGTGATTATGTCTATTTGCAAGAAGCAAATTTTGACATTGGTGATATTGATGACCCTCTTTCATACTCTCAGGCCGTGGAGAGTTCACAATCAACTTTATGGCAGAATGCAATGAAGGAAGAGCTAGATTCGATGTACAAAAACAATATTTGGATACTTGTGGAGTCTAGCCCTCAAATTAAGCCCATGGGTTGTAAGTGGGTATACAAAACCAAAAGAGATGCTCTTGGTCGAATTGAGAGATATAAAACTAGATTAGTAGCAAAGGGCTTCACTCAAAGAGAAGGTATTGATTACAACGATACTTTTTCCCCAGTGTCTTCTAAAGATTCCATGCGAGTTGTCATGGCTTTGGTTGCATATTTTGACTTGGAGCTGCATCAAATGGATGTGAAAACAGATTTTCTGAATAGAGACCTAGAAGAGTGTATTTACATGAAACAACCAACTAAATTTATTGAAAGGGGGAAGGAAAACATGGTTTGCAAGCTCAACAAGTCGATATATGGATTAAAACAAGCATCTAGACAATGGTATTTAAAGTTTGATCAGATTGTTTATTCTTAGAGATTTGCAGAGAATAAATTGGATGATTGCATTTACATCAAGTTTTCTGGTTCACAGTTTATTCTTTTGGTGCTTTATGTTGATGATATCCTTCTAGCAAGCTCTTGTCCTTAGTTGTTACAAAGAACCAAGAGGATGCTCAATGAAAGTTTTCATATGAAAGATTTGGGAGAAGCACACTTTGTGTTGGGAATTCAGATTGTACGTGATAGACAGAAAATATTTCTTGGCTTATCATAAAAAGGTTACATTGATAGAGTATTGCACCAATTTAATATGGAAAGTTGTAGTTGTGGCCAAGTCCCAGTTAACAAAGGGGATAAGTTCTCGAAGAATCAATGCCTAAGGACTGATTTGGAGATAAAGAAAATGCAATCTAAGTCTTATGCTTCTCTGGTGGGTAGCCTTATGTATGTAACCGTATGTACACAACCAGACATTACATTTATAGTAAGAATGTTGGGAAGGTTTCAAGCAAATCCAGGAGAAGCACATTGGATATATGCCAAGAAGGTTCTGAGATACTTGCAAAGAACTAAAAACTTTATGTTGGTTTATGGCAAGAGTGAATCTTTGGACCTTGAGGGGTACACTGACTTCAATTTGGCAGGTGATGTGGATGATAGAAAGTCAACCGGTGGTTATATTTTCATGTTGAATGGTGGAGCTGTTTCCTGGAAGAGTGCTAAACAAACTATCATTGCTACATCTACAGTAATCGACACATATACATCTCGTCTTAAAAAGATCTTCCGCCTTCGGTTTACTACTGATTGTCATGTCAATGTTGTATACTAGTCACATTTGTACCATAGAAGAACTTTTGTAAAGTTCAGTGAAATAGAGATTGCATAACGTCTAGTGAAGAATCCCCTCACGTGTGACAAATTTTCAAGCCTAACACGTGGACAACACAACGGGGTGACGTGGAGCGTGTCTGGCCGTTTGGCTTCACACGTGGGACAACCTGCTTTGATACTATGAAGAAAATTAAGGTTCCACCATAAAATCAATTAATGTAGAATTCCATGCAAGATCTTTCCTCTCATTAATGTAGAATTCATTCTCAACAATTCCACCGATGATATATAAAGCCTTTAGATTCCATAAACTTACCTTTTGTATACATGAAATGTAATATTTTTCGCCCTTTTGTAGGATGAAATGTGCGATTATATTATTCCGATTTACGCATAAGTATTACACGAACTGTGTGTTATTATCTCACCCCCGCTTTGCTTCGCTTTCGCTGCGACAACTTGAAATTTACCTTTTCTTTTCCCTCATTACAGTTTATCTAGAGAGAGAGAACTGCAAGAACTGAGTTACTACACAATAACAGAAAGGCACAGAAAACAATCAAAAAGGGAGACTACTACTTAAATCCATTAAACATTTGACGACGATCAATATTAGAGCCCTCTATCTTACGTTGATTTCGTTTTTCAGCAAACGCATCACAATGTCTCATGATCCAGAACCTCTCTAGTACTTCTGCTTTTCGACCTGGAATCCGCCCAGCTATTAAATCCCATCTGAAACCAAGTAAAAAGAAGAAGACAAAATTCTGCTCATTCTTATACCAAAACACGGTGATTCAAATACCGCAAGACAATATTTACTATTATTCATGTAAGACCCTGATTTTGCAGTCTGCTTGGAATTGCTTCTGGAAATACTAAAAGCGCTTTACGCCTACCAAAACACTTTTAACTAGTTTGACAATAAAACTTGAAAATGCCTCTAGATCATAGATCGAAGTCCCTTCCGTCAACCATAAGCGCTTCCACTTCCTATAGAAGCACTTACGTTTTATATTAAAAAAAAAAAAAAAAACTAATGAAAAAGAATTAAAAACTTTGAATTTTAACCAAAAGCACAAAAATATATTGTAAGTGAATAGTATTATGAGCGATTTTTTAAAGTAAAAATGTCTTTAACTTTAAAAGCGAACAATACCATGAGTTATATTAAAACTCCTAAAAAAATGACTTGTTTCCAATATTTTAACAAAAATACTTATAAGCAAAAGTGTTTTCGAAAAAAGGGGCTTGAGGATCCTGTATATAGGGATTCAAAGCCAAATTTGACGGTTGGACAAGGTAAATATCTAGGGTACAGCCGTGGAAGCAGTTGTGATTTTCAGACCAGACAGTAGAAAAGACAAAGTTTACAACTTCAGAGTGCGAGTACCAGACGTTTATTCTTTGTTTTCTCACTCGTTAAAGAAAAAGACACTACTTTCTCAGATGGTGTGTTTTTATTTGGAATTGGATAATCACATGGCTTTGTGTTTTAGAGTTTTAGTAGGAATCCGGATCCTCATCAAATTATCTTTATAAGGATCCGTAGATCTATCAATCATGTTCGTTCATCGCATATCGTATGATCAAATATTATTTTAAATATTTTTATTTAAAATTAAATACAAATAGTACTTGATAAAAACTGACCGTACAATGTACGATAAACAAACACGATTTACGGATTCCCATAATCCTAACCAAAAGAATCAGGAGAGGATCCTCACCAAGAGGATCCGGAGAGGATCCTGTTGGTTTTAGTAGTGGATACAAAGTGCATTTTGTTTCTTACTTGTACTTTTTACATTTAACTAGCATTTTGCTGTGAGAGGGTTAGAGATAAAATAGAAAAGGAAAATTTTGGGTGGGAAAGGGTACTATTATCATGTATTCATTAAATATTCAAACACACACGTTCATTCTTATTTTAATTATTCGAGCAATGCTCTATATTTTATATAGGAGAGCCGCCGAGCTTGAGTGTAGAGGAGGCCTAAACACTCCGGCGAACTTGGTTACACTACGCTTCTATTTGCAGTCCTTCAATTCATCTTTCGATTGTTGCGACTAATAAAATAAGTCTATGTACTAATCTGAATCATAAACGAATTATTTTATAAAAAAAATATAAGGAATTAAGCACTTAAACTAAGTTCTAGACATTTAAAACATTTATATTAGTATTACTAGGTGCAAAATTAAATAGAAAAACATTTGGATTTTGATTTGGAAAAAAAAACAACATACCTGGGTCCAACAAACCTATACATTCTATATATGAGATCTTCTTCTTGTTCAGTCATGTTTATGAATTTCCATTCATCACTAATAACCTCTGCCCAAATAAATATAGAAAATTAAGTTTATTAAGAACTCAGACTTAACTGGTGAGTAAAAGTTTGTTGGGAAGGAATGAAATGCACACAGACCTTCAGACTGATCAGTAATGGTGATTTTGGGTCGCTTCTGGTGACATCGGTCCATGCTCTCCATTGATTCTTACACCAAAAACAAGAGAGCAAATGTTTGGGAGGAGAAGGAATGAACGAATGAAGAAGGGTAGAAATGTAGTAGATAAATAGGGTTTGCGCTTGGAAAGTTGGAATGAGCTAGAGAATGAGATCACGAATGATACATACATATATTATATATATGTATATAATATATATGTATGTATGTATATTAAAAATACAAGCTTAAGCTGCCCAACAATCAACAACAACAAAGTGTGTTTACGTGAGAGAGTTTGTTTGTTTGTTTGTTGACTCGTAGGCCTTGTGGTTGTAGACTTGTAGTTGACATCAGAGAGTGCAGAAGGGAGGAAGAAAGAAGAAATGGCAATAGGCAAAAGCTATATCTATCTATCTACATATATATATATGTATATATTTATTTATATGTATGTAAGTTGCCTAGCTATAACTGCTTTCCCTAAAAGGTTCATTCATCTCTTTACCTTTGTTAGCATATGCATGGAAGGAATCAAACAGTATAGTATTTTCTCTCGAATCCGGATCCTCTTTGTGAGGATTTTGGGGATCCGTGAATAGTGTTTGTTCATCATATATCGTGTTATCAGTTTTTCTTAAATACTGTTTGTATTTAATTTTAAATAATAAAATTCAAAATAATTTCTGACCGCACGATGTACGATGAACGGACAAGATACATGGATTCCCGAGATCCTCACCAAGAGGATCTGGAGAGAATCCGTATTCTTTTTTCTCAACACTTTCATCAAGTCGCTTATCTTACCATTAGTCAAAATTATAATTTTTGTCCAAAAATTACACTTGAGGCTTATATACGTAGTTAAAATGTCATTTCATGGCCTAAAACATTGAATTTGCTCGTGTATGTAAATTTTACGTGCAATTTTTAAACTGCGTTCGAAAGAAAATCGTAATTTTAACTATACATATGTATAATTAATACCTTTTTGCATTGCACTATTCGTTGATGAGAATGAAACAGTAATATTGTCACATGTGTGGTCTGCACAATTTGACAAAATTATTTTAAGTTGTTGAAAATGAATCTGACATTGATGAGATTAGGATCTTTGCATGTGCTTATAAATAGTTAGCTACTCCTCATATTATCAAGTAATTTTATGATAGAACCTTAACTTTCTTTATAGGTGAAACAATTTGACCAAATTTAGATAAAAAATAGACGGATTGAAATAGATTTTGGGGGGGGGGGGCATTTACTGTTAGAATTCATTTGTCCCACATCGGCCAGAAGGCTTGAGAACAAGCCATTTATATAGAATTACCCCACTCTAACTAGCACCAAGGCCTTTTGTATTAAAACCTCACACCTGACGAATTGAGCAGGTGGCCAAGTGGGGACAATATCGGTGTTGTTGGAGTAGGCCCATGGCCCGTCTATCTGAAATTTAAAATGGTATCAGAGCCAGGGGACGGGTCCGTATATCCACGTGAACGGGTGGGTCCCCTTTGGCCCAGCGCGAACGGGTGAGCCCCGGCTTGGCTCCACGTGGTTGCCGTGCCATGTGCATTGGCCTAGCGCGAACAGGTGAGCCCCGGCTTGGCTCCACGTGGTTGCCGTGCCACGTGCATTGGCCCAGCACGAACGGGTGAGCCCCGGCTTGGCTCCACGTGGTTGTCGATGTGTGGAACTCCACGTGTAATCCATAAAATGGGGTCTCACGTGCGGGGGAGTGTTAGAATTCATTTGTCCCACATCGACCAGAAGGCTTGAGAACAAGCCATTTATATAGAATTACCCCACTCTAACTAACGTCGAGGCCTTTTGTATTAAAACTCTACACCTGACGGATTGAGCAGGTGACCAAGTGGAGACAGTATCAATATTGTTGGAGTGGGCCCATGACCCGTCTACCTGAAATTTAAAATTTACACTATTCCAACACGCATGGGTGACAAATCTTGTTCCCTTGTTTCGGATAGGAATTTTCATGATCTGACTTTTAAGTGGGGTAGACATGCACGGGTTGATTCAATCTGATTTTCCTAATTGAAATATAAAAAAAAAGTTAATTATAAAATATATCGATTTAATTTGGTTTGATTTGATTTTGGATACCATGTAAATCTAACTAAATTGGACTAGTTCAAGAACACTTGGTTTGATTCAGTTAGTTGAGAGCTCCATTTGGTCCGATTCACCCATTTCTGATTTAAATACTCAACTTTATTTGCGTTGCACTCGTAACATAAAAGTTATTTTATGTATCAAATCATACTAATCTATGATAGTAACATTGACTCAGTAATATACCAGCCTGTATATCATCATTAAAGACAGTTTGAAGTCTTGGTACGAAAGGTGCGTAGCATACGTAGTAAGTACATGGTGGTCAGCATTTGAACGATTCTTCTTCTTCATTATGTTGTTTGGGTCACATGCGTGGATTTTATCATCTTCTTCAATAATTCATTGTCTGTCCTACTGGATAGAGGAATCATGCCTTACTTTTACAGCACGGGAATATTGTACCGAATGGTTACATAGTTACAGTGCTTCAACATTTTGATATCTATAGCTCGTACAAATGAGTAATGATAGGCAAATCAATTTTTTAGACAAAATTTATAAATTATGTGATTTGTGTCACAAATGAAAATTTAACATGTTAATCAACACTTCAGTAATAATTCAAACATCAACCGTCACGTTATATAATTAATTTATAAAATTTGGTCTAAATAAATAATCTGTCTAGCATCACCCAGTACAAATATGTAAATTTAAAATACTCTGCATACATTTCCACAACTTGAACCAAGACAAAGAGAGAGGATCCGGCAGCTTGAACCAAGACAAAGAGAGAGGATCTCGCCGGATCCTCTTTGTGAGGATTCCGAGGATCCTCCAATCACATTTGTTCATCGTACATTGTGCAGTCATTTTTTGTCAGGTATTGTTTATATTCAATTTTAAATAAAAAAATTTACAATGATTTCTGACCACACAATGTACGAATGTACGGTTGTGATTTGAGATTCCCCGAGATCCTCACAAAGAGGATCCGGCAAGGATCCTCATTCCAAGACAAAATGCCTTTCTATTTCAATCCTAGAACATACGCCATTACTACTACTACTTGGTATCAAGCGAGGGGGCATAGATTCACTCCGGGTCTCACTGTTCGGAGCATCAAGATCAGGTAATCCGGATCGCTTAAATTGAATATGTCGGTCCCCATTAACCCATTTCGCTAGCCTACCTTATCACACAAACCAAGAGTTTTGATCACTTTTTCACATAAACCAAAATCCAAATTTTCTTGTCTTTAAACTCTGAACAATAAAGTTTGGTGAGGATCCAAATTTAGGTTCTAGGTTATAGCATTTGCCTTAAAGATAAATTATCATTTATGAGTGTTTTCATTGGCATATCTCAGGAGAAAAGCTTGAGTGGAGGTGTCTCACAATGTTACCTATATTACTTTTTCCAAAAACTTGAATATTAATGTGAGAGACAATTATTTCGAAATTTCTCTAATATTTAAGAATTTAGGACTAATATAGTCTTGCTAAAAACTATTTTTGTTTATTAGATTTTAGGACTTAAACAAGATTTTTTTTTAGATTTTAATCTGAATGGTTTTTGAAATTCAGTTTAAGTTCTTATTTTTAAAATTTACCATCTTTAAGTAATTATAGCACATTTATTATTATAAACTTAGCATATGTGTCACATCCTAGCCCGGGCCCCCACGACATCCCGGGTTCGACTCCACCGTAGCACGATATTATCCACTTTGGTCCCCGACCACACCTTCAAACGATATTATTCACTTTGGGGCCCACACCTTCAAACGATATTATTCACTTTGGGCCCCGACCACACCTTCAAACGATATTATCCACTTTGGGCCCTGACCACACCTTCACGATTTTGTTTCTGGGAACTCACACAAGAACTTCCAATGGGTCACCCATCCTAGGATAGCTCTCGATCGAACTCGCTTAACTTCGGGTTCCTACGGAACCCGAAGCCAGTGAGCTCCCAAAAGACCTCGTGCTAGGTAGAGATGGGAATATACATATAAGGCTTAGATGATCTACTCCCCTAGGCAATGTGGGATGTAACAATCCACCCCCCTTAGGGGCCCGACGTCCTCGTTGGCACACTTTCGGCCAAGGATTGACTCTGATACCAAATTGGTACATCCCATCCCGGGCCCCCATCATATCCCGAGCTCGACTTCACCGTAAGCACGATATTGTCCGTTTTGGGCCTCGACCACGCCTTCACAATTTTGTTTCTAGGAACTCACACGAGAACTTCCCAATGGGTCACACCCATCCTGGGATTGCTCTCGCACGAACTCGCTGAACTTCAGAGTTCCTACGAAACCCGAAGCCAGTGAGCTCTCAAAAGGCCTCGTGCTAGGTAGAGATGAGAATATACATATAAGGCTTACATGATACACTCCCTTGGACGATGTGGGATGTAACAATATGAAATTCTCTACTCATCTATAATTAATGTATTTTTTGTGTGCTCCAATTATATTAATACATAAAACAATTTATTCATAATTCAAATTCTTATCATTAAAAGAAAGTCAACAACAAAAAAAAAACAATTTATATTTTCAAAAACTCGTAGGTACGGAAGTATCGGTACAAATAAATCGGTACACAAGTTTCGGCACAAATATATAGGTACATAAGTTTCGATATACAAATGTACCTAAGTTTTGGTACAAATATGTAGGTACATAAGTTTCGGTATGAATGTATCAGTACGTAGCTATAGTATCTAAGCATAAATAGGTACATAGTATGCATATGGAGAAATTTGCACACAATAGATGACAATATATGGATTTCTTATTATGAAAATTTAATGAATTATCAATGATATATAAGATTTTGGTTGAATTGTCAATTTAGTTCTTGAATTATCACCCAAGTGAAAATTAGATCTCTAAACTACTTTTTAGAACAATCAGTCATTGAATTATAAAAATCTGCCAATTACATCCCTAATATTAGATTTGAAGATACTATATTCAATTTTCCGTCAATTCAAGTCACGTTACTTGCATGTGATACACATTGGAGGGTAGATTGATAATTTTTCATAAAGAAATAGTGTATGAAATTAACTTTAGAGGGTAAATTAGACATTAGATTCACAACCTATATAAAATGTTAAGGGCCTATAGGTGAAAAATGACGGTTTTACACTCGAAAGTGTGTCAAGTGACTTAAGTTGACGAAAAATTGGATAAAATAGCTTTGAATATAATAGTAGAGATGAAATTAACAATTTTTAATAAATTTAGGGACTTATTTTTCCGAAAAAATAATTCAGGGACCTAATTTTCACTGAAATGATAATCCAGAGACTAAATCGGCACTTCTCCTAAGATTTTTATTGTTTAAGAGAATCAATATATAACCTACATAAAGAATTCAGTAATTATTACAGCCTAATTAATGTTTGAAAATTACAATTAAATACCAAGGACTATAGTTAATTTTTAATCTCAGACAAGGTTTAATTCAAATAGTAATCTTCTTTAAGGATTGGAATAGAATATTTCAAAAAAAATATATATAAAAACCGTGGAGAATGAAGAAGTGTGAAGGGAGGTGATGGGGTAAGATCTTAAGAGGGAAAATACAAGATATTATATGAAAAGGAGTTAACAATAAAACTAATAATTTGAATTTGTTTTCAGTTTTTTGTTTTTTAGTTTCATTTTGTGTCCCCTATTCGAAAGAAGACAATGAATGGAAGCATGAAAAATAGAAAACAAGGTTCTCCAAATGATGAGAAGAATGACTCAAACACAACTTCACCAACTGATGGAAGAATGACTCAAACACAACACAATGACACATCATCATCATCATCTTTGAGTGAAAATTTTTGACTTCCGAATTTATTCTTGAGCTTGATGACAACGTTTTTAATAAGTTTAAACAAAACCGTGTATAGGTTTAATTTACTTTGATTTGTTGTGATTAAATAATTAAGTTGCAAATCAACCTTTTGGCAAAGAAAAAGGAAGATCGTATAGACTACTAGGCCAGGGAACATAATATTACATGGTGAAGGTGTTAAGGCAGAATATCCTGTCGCGAACCTTCCGAAACAGGCAGCAACTTGGTAAGAATTTTCTTATTATATGCACTCGGATTCTTTGTATTTTTTATTTGTCATTCTTTTTACTGTGCATGGTTCATGATTTGGCTGCCTACCTACTTATTAGCACTAACATTTATCAACTTGAAAATGAAAAGCAAAAGACATTAATAGATTATTGAAATTGTCAAAGTAAAGGAAATTAATCCAAAATTATCTTTGTAATTATTGCATGTATTATAGGAATGTAATTTTCAATTAGCATTAATGTACGATACTCATCTAAATATGGATGGGTAGTGCTAGAGAGACTAAATTTATAGTAAAATTTTGCAAAGTAAATGACATGTAAGTTGATGATTGGATTGTTACTTAATAATTGATAAACGTGCTCATTTCTATTGGTGACATATCATTTAATTTGCAAATTTTGTTTACAAATTTAGTTTCCCTAGCAATATTACCCAGGATTTATATAGGGTTTATGATTTGCTCTCTTGATGAGTTTGTTATCAATAAAGCTATCGTTTTTATTAAAAAAAAAATATTACACGGAGTGATATTTCTATATAAATGAAGAACCGAGAACCGTTCGAAAGTTTGTCTGGTATATATTGTTTTCAAATTTCTCTTTGTGGAACTTGAAAATGAAATTTTCCTAGGGGCAAATTTTAAATGTGAGGTTATACGATGAAAAGGCAAGTGATAGAGCTCTTAGCACTTTTTAAGAAACTTCAGGGGTACGAGGGTTTTTTAACAAAAAAATGAAAAATAAATGATTACATTGCTGGCGAAAAATGTTTTGCTGAGTTTTGGTGAAAACTTTCAAAGCTATGATGAATTTTGGGTCCATCGGTTCTGCGAAACTACAAATTTTTACATCTTTGCCAATAAGATCACAGAATTGAAGCCCCATGTTTAGTTCTGGAAATATATTATTCAAAAAATGTGAATGGACGACGGTCGAATAGGATGCGTAGCTCATGAGCTTGATCAAGCTCCACTCAAAATGGTTTGACCAAACCAAAAATCCTCCACTCAAATAATATATTGCCAATGGTTTCCTTCCTTCGTCACAAAACCAAAGCCAATTAGTTTGTTTTAAGAAAGCAAATATTCATGGAACTTCCTTGTTATTAAATGCTTTTCCGTTTATACGCCCCTTTTGATGAAGGGTGGTGGTAGTATGATATTCATACATTCATTTTTATGTCTTATACATTTTTTTTTAATTTTTAATCGTCGAATCAATGTATTTAAGAATATTAATGGACAAAAACTAACAAGAGTGTATGAGAGGTAACAATAAGTGTGTGAATAACACTATGCTTGATGAAAATCTCGCTTTTCCTTCTGAATTTGCAATTTTGCGGCTTTGCTTTATGTATTTTCATCCCGAGTCTCAAGTGACCTCATTACTTCAAGTTAGGAAAATGTTAACTTTGTTGTTGTAGAACTAGAGAGAGAGAAAAAAAAAACAATGTTTCGAGCAAAACATCGATTCCACACAGCCAAGTTAGCAATTTTTCTGATCAACTAGATAAAACTGGATAACATAGATCAGGTAATGAAAGTGTATGAGCAAAGGCATACAATGGCTTTCCTTTTTGTTCTCTCCTCAAACTAGGGACTAGAGAGTTGTTTCTAGGGACTAGAGAGTTGTTTCAAGTAGAAAAGTAAGATTTCCGGAATTAAATTTAGGGTTTATGAAATTCAGGAATATACAGAATAAATTGTGTAAAGAATAATGGAAACCACATCATCAGTGAAAACAACATTTGTGTGTTTCACAATTCTAATCACTAGCACGTCTAGAATTTATTTACAAAACCATGGTGCAGGTTAAGTTTGAAACAAAATATAGATGCCGAATCATTCCTAAAAGTGAATAATTCTAGATGTTCGTTTTTCAATCTGAATGTATAAGAAAATGTAATATTTCGAGCAAAAAATCAGTTATGCATCAGCTAAAATTAACTATTTTTCTAACCAACATAACGAAATCAGGTAACATGGGACACGAAATGATAGTGTTATATTAGACTTAATTAATCTAAAATCCTCTTCGTAATTGGAAAATGCAGTATAAGAATGTAATTTCCAGCTGTAATTATTATAGGATTCCTACCTCAATAGGGATTAATATAACCCTATATATGTTGTAATATTTTTACACTTCAATACAAGGAGTTACAATTCTATATACCATCACTCGTCTAGATTTTTTCTTTCATCATCCTCCCACGTATTCTCGTCTTCGTAATTCTACACAGAGTGGATTTTCCGGTATATACCGCAGGGATCATACAAACAAATAATCCTTGATTAAATGCAATTACTGTTCTTTATGCACTCTCCTGGATTGATTAGGGACTAAAAAGATGCTTGAAGTAGAAAAGTAGGATTTCACAGTAATTAACCTTACTGCAGCATGATTAAATGGAAGCCACGTCATTAGTGAAAACAGCTAACACTTCTCAACTTGTATTTTGCATGTCTTCCAACTAGAATATATGCATGCGTCGCTCCTGTGCAGCTTCATTCTGAACGCCAAAATCTAAGATGCAAAGTCAATCCACAAGTTTATAAAAAACACAGAGCACTTGTTCTGCTTTTAATTTTTTTATTGTTCTCTAACTATTCATCTCACTCACTCGTATATATATATATATATGCATTCCCAGCAGGCTGTACATATCGGTCAAACACTTCAGGCTATTCATTCTTAAGTCCTTAGTGAATACTAATCTTGTCTTTAACTACAAATCATTGCCGAGGGAAAAATCAACGTCCAAGATGTTGCGATTGGTGATCGGAGTGATGGGTGAGCGATATATACTTACTACATTGTTCATAAACCTCATACTGATGTAGCAGAAAGGTTTCTTAGCAATGTTAATTATATCATAATTTGTATACTGTTTGTTGCAGGGAATGCTGCCGCTTTGCTGCTTTTCGCTGCTCCAACGTAATGTCAACTGTGAAAACACTCTTACTTTTATTCTACTACCTAGTTCAAAATTCGTAGCTGATAATACTAAATGTGTTTCCTGCAGATTGACTATGTCGAGAATCGTAAGGAAGAAAAGCACAGAGGGGTTTTCGTGTGTACCTTACGTCACTACGCTGCTCAACTGTCTCCTTTACACTTGGTATGGACTCCCAGTTGTAAGCAACAAGTGGGAAAACGTTCCGCTCTTCACCATTAACGGCACAGGGATTCTTTTCGAGCTCTCATTCATCATCATCTATTTGTGGTTTTCTACAGCACGAGGGAAGGCAAGTTTCTATTAATTGACACAATATTTTGGTTTTCATAGAAAAGTTTCAGGTGCCATGCAACATCTGCATGGGATGCGTGAAAATATAAGGTGAGGTAATATACGTTAACTGTTGAATACTATGGAATTGCAGATAAAAGTAACTGCGACTGTGATACCTGCTATTGTGGTGTTCTGCATCACCGCCATTATCTCAGCCGTCGTTTTCCATGATCACCAACATCGAAAAGTATTTGTCGGAAGCGTCGCTATAGTGGCCTCTGTGTCAATGTATGCTTCTCCCCTGGTGGTTGTGGTAAGTAATTTCTTACGCATTGTTTCAAACACCATTAAAATCTTTCTATCGGTTACAAAAAATAAAGCTTCTCAAATGAACATTTATAATTGCAGAAGCAAGTGATACTAACAAAGAACGTCGAATACATGCCATTCTACGTGTCTCTTTTCTCGTTCATCTCAAGCTCCCTCTGGATGGCTTATGGACTACTCAGCCACGACATCTTTGTTGCGGTTCGTATAAAAAAATTATACTCTACACCTTATTAATTGTTGTTCTGATACAAAAATGGAAGTATGAAAAGGATTAACTTGAATTTTTCAACTTGAATTGCAGTCTCCTAATCTGGTCGGAACCCCATTGAGCATCCTTCAACTAGTTCTGTACTGCAAGTACAGGAAAGGGGGAACAGTGGAGTTACCAAACAAAAGGGATCCTGAAGGGAATAAGGTTAACGACGAAAAGACGATACAGCTGCAGGTTGTGATTTGTGACACAGAAAATGGCAAAAACTGAAGAAAAAGAATACTCAAGGTTGGTTTAATTAGAGTGCTTCCATTTTCTTGAAGAATAATAGGTTTAATATGTTAAGTATATGTTAGTGGAGATTTAACACATTTACAATTCTGTCGCAGACTCGCAGCTAGTTGAAAACACAGTTTCTCACAGCAGTTATCGGTTTAACTCAATAATTCTCCGAGGGGGCGGTGAAAGCAGTAGGGTGTTGTAAAACAGAGCTCTTAAACTGTCGCAATTTCTTATGAACTTACTAAGTGTGTCAAATTTGTATATAAAATCGCTGATATGTAATGAAAAGTTTATTTTCTTACTCAGTATCAATTCGTAAATTTTCCGATGTACGCCATAGAGAGAAGTAACAGCGATAATTAGCTTCGACAAAGAGCTGATATATTAACTCTTACGATGGTAATCCGATTTTCGTTAATAATCAAGGAATAAAATATCGATGATATTGGAAATATCGGTAGTCCAAAAATACGGAAATTTCGATGGAAATATCGAAATATTATCGATATCGATAAAATTAAAAACCACGGAAATTGTAAGAAAAACTTGGAAATTTTTATTAAAACTTTGCAGAATGTTTATTTAGTCAATTATCTATTAGTTTATCACAAAAAATTAGAAGGAAATGCATTGCATGATAGATATAACTATTTAAGTTGATTATATAGCGAGCTGGCAAACATTATGAGTGTAGAAAATATGTAGTAATTAATAAAAGAAGTTTAAACACACCATAATAATTTATATATAATGAATTAGTACAATATTTTACACTTTATACATTGCATGGTAAGATACATGAGTGACTTAGCAAGGTCTAAAATATCGATAATATCGGAAATATCGGTAGTCCAAAAACACGGAAATTTCGATGGAAATATCGGGATATTATGAATATTTTAGACCATGCTAATAACACAATCAGATTGAACGCTAAAATTTATATATATTTGCTGTCAGATACTCCAATGTTTCATAAATCAGATTACAATGAAGATGGGACTTATCTTCTACACAGAATACATGAACTTTCCTGTTCAGCTCAATCCAACTACATCCAGGATCCTTTTTCACCTCCAAGTTTCTCAATCGCTTCCTCGCGTTCATCTTCGCCCCCCACTTTCCCAGTACTGCATATATGTTCGATAAGAGTATATATGCGGAGGCTGGTTCTGGATCGAAACATAACATTTTCTCAGCCACCCTCTCGCCCAGTTCCATATCTATCCAGAACCAACAAGCATTTAGCAGAGCTCCCCAGATAACCCCATCTGGTTCAGTTGGCATTTCTTGAATAAACTCCATAGCTTCTTGTAAACAACCAGACCGACCGAGAAGATCCACTACACATGCATAGTGTTCAAGTGTAGGGTTTACTCCGTAATTTTTTTCCATCAGGTGGAAAATTCTCATCCCTTCGTTGACTAGACCAGCACGACAGCAAGCAGAGAGAATTGCCACAAAAGTAGCAGCATTCGGAATGATTCCTTGCTTTAACATTTTCTCAAACAGCAACATTGCCTTTGAGACAAGCCCGTACTGTGCATACCCGTTAATGAGAGCTGTCCAAGCTGCCACATTGGGTGAACCAATGCAGATGAATGATGCTTCGGCATCGGTGATGCTTCCGCATTTGGAGTACATATCTATCAGGGATGTCCCAACATACACATCTGATTCAAATGGTGTTTTAATCAAATGACCATGAAGTACTTGTCCTGATTGAAGGGATCCAAGGCATGAACAGGCATGAAACAGAGCAGAGAAAGTGGATCTTGTACGGTCTATTGACAATTTGTGCATTGTTGCGTATAACTCCAAAGCCTCCTCATGCTGGTGATTTTGAATGTAACCCGACATCATGGCGTTCCATGTCACAGGGTTTCTTTCCTCCTTTGTTTCTTCAAAAATCTTTGAAGCCTTATCGATATCACCATTCCCTAGAATACACAGAAATCATAGTATTTGAAGAAATTATAGTTCTATGAGGCATACTCTTAAATAATCTCTTTGATTCATCGACTTGACCACTCGTTGCATAACCTTTAATCATCAAGTTATACGAAACTGAATCCTTTTCTTTTAGTATATCGAAAATTCGCTTTGCATCTTCAATCCTATCCATCAACACAAGTCCAATAAGCGAATTCGAAGCATTTAAACTCGGGCTTTCTATTCTATCATAAACTCTCCTGGCACAATGAACAGCTCCACAAACACAATAAAATTCTAGTAATGCACCACCAATCGATTCATCAGACTCAAAACCATGTTTGATCAAAATTCCATGCACAGCCTTCCCTACACACAGCTCTCCTAATCTCCCACAAGCCCTTATAACACAATCCAAAGTAAACTCGTTAGGCGCCACCCGATCACTCATCATCCATTTAAACAGCTCCAAGGCTCTCTTACACCCATCCTCGCTCTTAGCGTACCACGAAATCATTGTAGTCCATGCCAAAACATCCCGCTTCGGCATGTTCACAAACAACTCCGTAGCTTCACTCATCAAATTACACTGCACATAGCCCACAAGCAATAAGCTCCACAACAAATCATTTCCACCGCGCAGCTCATTGAAAACCTGCTTAGCATCCTCAATTTTAAGGCAACTAGCGTAAAAGTACAACAGAGAACTACCCAAAAGCTCAAAGCACTCTAACCCAGATTTCAAAACCAAGCAATGAACCTCCTTTCCCTCACTCAAAGACCCCGAACGCGCGCACGCGCTGAGAGTTGTCATAAAAGTCGTCTCATTTAGCCTTACATTGCCGTGATGCATATCTGAGACCAACCATAAAGCCTCGCTGAATCTTCCCCACTTTGAATATCCAGAAATCATGGTGTTCCATGAGACGAGGGTTCTCATTGGCATTTCGTCGAACATTTTCCGGGCAACATCTAGCTGCCCGCTTTTGCAGTGGCGAGTTATGCAAATGTTGGTGGAAACTATGTTGGGGTCTTGGGTTTTCGTAGTTTTGTAATTCAGGGTTGAGAATTGTTCAAGGTTTGGCTTCCATCGGTTGTGCTTCCATGTTCCCGCCATCAACGTTTTCAGAGAGAGCAAAGAGGTGAATGCAGGTGACGACGTCGTCATAGTATCAGCCTTAACCCCCGGTTTATGAATGTAACAAAATGATGGTTGGTGTTCATATCTTCAGTATGCAACTCTTTTTGCAAATATATACAGCTCCTTTAAGAAAGCGATCACTATTTTTTGGATTTGGGATGTCAATGCGAAAATGTACTATATATTATCGCTAGTCCATTATCAGAATTCATCATTCATAGACGTGCTGCTAAGTCGCAAAGTTGCCTCTACTCGATTCTGAGACCTCCGTAAGCCCATTGAAAACGTCAGACTGAAATCTACTCAGTTATTACGTCTTCGTTGGCCCATACGTGTTACGTGTTTCGTATCCGATATTTTTTTTTATGTATATCCTACACATATTCAAATTAGGGCTGGAAAAAATTCTCAAAATTTCCAAACCAAACCGAAAAATTTCAAACCAAAACCATCCCCAAGTTCGGTAATCTCATCACGAAAAATACCGAAGTAGTCGGATTGGTTTTTCAAATCTTATCCCAAAACCTTTTGTTTTTTGGACAAGGATTGTCTGCCCTCCACTTCCGATGTTCTTTCCGTGCCCTCCTGTTTGTGTGGTCACGGTTAAGTCACGTCAACATTTTATATTACTATTCATTTTTATCTTATTATATTTATAAAAAATAATATAAAATATTAACGTGATTTAACCGTGATCATACAAAACAAAAGAGCACGACGAAGACACGGGAAGTGGAGGGCAAACAATCATTGTCATTGTTTTATGAGGGTTTTTGGCTTTCGGTCCGTTCCTCTAGCAATAGCTATCTTTCTTCTTCACCTTTTTCATTTTTTATTCTCCTTTTGTCTGCCATCTTCACCAACCATTCATTTCCTTTTCTTTTTTTTATTTCTTGATAGCATCATTGTCTGCCATCTTCCCACTCCCACTGACGAGAGATTTTTCAGTGATCCCATCACACGAAATGATACATCATGTGCCTCTAAATAAATAGTGGGTTATATGTGTTAAAATATTAATAATTTAAAAATTAAAATTTTTCACCACTTGCATAAAAACACATAGTGTACCATCCGTATTTTCGCCACAACTAAAAATTTTCCCTCATTGACAGCCATCCTCTATCTCTTCTCTCCCTCCACCGACTCCCTCAAATGCACGGAAGGAAGCATGCCCAAGGCCTCCAAATCCTTTCTCAATCTTTACAAATTTATACTTTGGATGCAGTACCTAATCCTTAACATTCTTTGATTAAAACCTTAATAGTATTCAAAGTTTGATCAATATCCATTAACTTTGTACACCTCATTATATTACTATTAATATTTATAGTTTTATAGTTTTGACATTAATTGTTTGATATTTTATGAGATTTATAATCCTATAAATTTAAAATCCCTCATTATAATACTATTAGAAACAGTTACAATAAAAAAATTCAAACATTTTAATTGACTAAATGGATAAAAACTATGTAGAAATAAGAAATAAGAAATGGCAAAAGAATGTGTCCATAGTGTTAAAAAAAATGGTACATTTTACAAAAAAATTGGTACATTTCACATATAACAAAGTAGTACATTATAAATACATTAGAGTACATATAAAAGATTAAAAATTATGAGTACAAATGAATTTTTAAAAAAATATAGGTGCTAAAAGAAATTAATACATGGGTACAAAATAAAACTACAAAGAAAATACTACAAATTTTTAAAAAATGTTGCAAATTAAAAGTGGGTACAAACTAAAAATATAAATATATGATACAAGGTTTAGGCATAAAACATAAATATACCATATGTAATTTTTCCATCACTGATTAAATATACAATGTCACGTGACAGTATACACATGGGTACAAACACAAATAAAACTTTAAAAAATATGGGCACAAAAAGAAACTAATATATGGGTACAAATAGAAAATGAAAAGAAAATTGGTACAAATTAAAAATAAGTACAAACTAAAAAATATATATATATATGATAAAAAATTTAGCCATAAATATAAAATAAAATAAAGTGGTACACCATACATCTCTAAATAAAATAAATAGTGGATTATGTGTGTTAAAATGTTAATAACTTAAAAATTAAAATTTTTCACTACTTACATAAAAACACGTAGTGTACCATCTGTATTCCCATCACACCTAAAAAATTTCCCCCACTGACAGCCATCCTCTATCTCTCTCTCCCTCCACCGACTCCCTCAAATGCACGGAAGGAAGCAAGCCCAAGGCCTCCAAATCCTTTCTCAATCTTAAAAAAAAAGTGAGTGTTACTCTGTAGCTTTTTTTTTTTTTTTTTTCTTGTTTCAGATCCAGAAAGCTTCACGAATTTAGGATTTGGAAACAACCACACATCGATGTCATGGCATTAGAATTCTACGAAGCGGCGCCATCGCTGCAAAGCAGAGTAGCCCTCCGATGGCAATTTCTTTCTGCAAAACATGGAAAAGCTCACTCATCGACGATGATGGGTACTTGATTATGTTTGATGCATGTCGCAAAGCTCCCCGACTCCCAAAGGCAGCAAAGACAAACCCAGGAATAAGAGGGATGGAGATGGGGGTGGGGAGGTCGAGGAATCTGGGACGAGGTGTGGCCGTGTGGGCTTGCAGGGGAGTGGGAGGTCCACGAATCTCTGATTTTAAATTGGGGTTTTAAATTTTGATGCAGGTTCAGTTTGGTTTCGAAAAATCCCGAAATACCGAAAATATTTGGGAATCCCGAACTTCGGGAATACATAAATTTTGGTTTGTGATCGGTCCTCAGATTTTCGTTCCGAAAATAAATGGTTTGGGACTTGATATGCTTTTTCCGGTTTGGTATTGATATGCTTTTTCCGGTTCGGTATCCCATACCGAACCAAATATTACATGTTTATTAAGTTTAATCGTCTAAAATAGGAAAATGCATACTAAAATATATCTATAACGGTGTTTAATTGTTAGAAAACAAAAATTATTGTAAATTTTTCTTTTGTAATTTTCAAGTTGTTAAAAAAACATATAGACGAGTGAAAAATAGATAAATAGGTAAAAAAAAAAAGATAAACGGATTCAAAAAAGGGTAAACGGGTTAATAGTTATGAATAAATTGGTAAACGGTTATGGTTAAATGGATACATGGTAATGGATATAGTAAACTGTTTATAAACGGTTATAGGTATGAATATAACCGTTTATGCAATTACCCAATGGTAACCGGTTATGCGAGTATGAAAATAAACGGTTATGCGAGTATGAAAATAAACGGTTATGGGTAAATAATCGCGGTTATCCACCCATTATAACAGTTGCCCATCCTTACGTGTTGCTTCCCAATCAAGTTACACATCTTCTAGCTAGGAATGCCCTTATATGGAAAAGGATCCTCACTGGATCCTTTTCATAGGGATCCCACAATCATGTTCGTTAATCGTACATTGTGTGGTCAAAATTATTTAAAATTTAAAACTTAAAATTCAAATATAAATAGTACCTAACGAAAACTGACCGTACAATGTACGATGAACGGACACGATTACTGGATCCCTAGGAAAAAGATCTGGCGCGGATCCTTTTCCCACTTATATATCTTAGTGTTGCATGTAAATAAACATTTCATTTTAGTGCCTCATATATTAGAGTGATTTTTAGTATGCCAGAAAACAATTAGATTTGGTGTAATTTAATACAAATGGTTAAATATTAAAAACATTCCAACTGTTTGTATTATAATACTTAATATATTAGATTGTTTCTCACACATTAAAAAACCTTCATATTTGCCTGTTGATCTATCTTTTCCAGATTTTAATTGAAATAGCCTTCAAAGTGGAAAACCTGTACCATTATTAATAACTTTAACGATTTGAGCATGTAAACAGATGATATATTCAAAGAAATTGTTAAAACTTTTGCATTATTCAAATATTTCTTTTGATTATATAACATGATTTATTTGTGAATTTATTATAGAAAACTTTAACGAAAAACTTTCGGTACTGTTCACTTTAATGAAAAATCATATTTTTATAATAAAAAGTTAATCCTAGTATTATTCACTTTACTCTTTATTTGATCATCATTGTTAAAACTCAAAGTTTTCAAACATTTTTCTTTAGTTATCAAATTTTCCATGATTCACAGGAGAACTTCGTGTCGATTCAAGCTCAGTCCCAAGCTGCCACGTGTTGTCAACCCACCATTAAAATCCCAAACACGGAAAATTTTTAGTTGTAACAGGAATACAGATGATACATCATATGTTCTATGCAAGTGGGGGAAAATTTTAATTTTTAAGTTATTAACCTTTTAACACCCATAACCCACCATTTATATAGGAATACGTGTTGTACCACTTCGTGTGACGGAACCTGAAAAATCTCTCCCCAAACACAAGCGTCCTCCATGCACGAAGCCACGTACCAGTTCTGTTCTCTCATCACTTGCAGAGTCTGTCTTGTTCTTGCCCCATTCACTCACTCTCAGCCCAGGAAACCACAAAGAAGAACAAAGCTGAAAAGCCCTTTTCATAATTTTATTAGTTCACAATAAACATACGAAAATCATTAATTTTCTCAGATATATATTGTTACACAATGGTGAAGCTGGCGTCGGCAAGGGAGTTCCGAATGTACGGCCCGCAGCTGAGCCGGAACCGTGCCGAGTACATGAACGCGGGGCTCTACGTGTTTGCCACCGCGGTGCTGCTCCTCGGGTTCGTGGCCCAGCTGTCGAACGAGCCCAAGTCGGGCCGACTCCTCATGCTTATAGCCTTCTCGTTAATTTTGGTGGTGAATTTGCATGATCTTGTGGCTCACCTGGCCATGTTCGATTACCGGATGCCGTTGATGGAGTTCGACTTGCAGCTCGCCCTCGTCGAGTTTGCTGTCCCGGTGGTTCATGCAGTAGGCACGGTTCTATCGTTCTTGGGGATTCTTTTCCTTCTTATTCAGGTATTTGATCACAAATATCACATATTTTGATTGAATAATTTGGAACTATCTACCTTAATTGTGTTTCGTACAAGTATTTGACTTCACTCTAGTAATTAGGATCTAATTAAGTATACATCATTAAGATTGTTAATTCATGAATAGTGGAGTAATAGCTTAATCTTTAAGCAACTCACAAACTATAAATATTGAATTTGTACCATTCATTTCGAAATCACGGAGCATATTCTTTCTTTATTTCTCACTCTAAAAATACTCTCATTCTCGATTTCTCCCTAGCTTTTTAGTTAAGAAAACCAACTAATATTGATCATACCCCTTTTCCGCGTACAAACTCGTACTTAATATAAACACCTACAAATGACCCATCAGATGGTGAAAAGTGAGCATTGAGATGGTGCAATAGACCCGTGGAGTGGTACTAGTACACCACTCAATGGGCCAAAATCATGACGATTTAACGATTGTGGGTTTTTCCAAGTATTCGTATTCAGTACGTGTTCATACTGTAATTGTTGACAGACCGTTGATTATGTTGGACATATCTTTGCAATGTGTTCATTTGTTTGTGACTTGTGAGTGCTACGTATTGTCACGATTGGCAGTTGGAGAAAGGATATGGGTACTCTAAGCTTGAGAGGCATGCAAAGAACATGCTAATTGCTGGTCCTGTTCTGTGGCTGCTCGGATCGATCCACAACTCGTGCCAAATCTACGAGAGGGCAGACGGGCATTTCCAAATACTTCAACAAAGTGTGCATATCCCATTTCTGATTGGGAGTGTGTTGTTCACAGTAGCTGCAATTCTCAACAGCCGTGAGCAACATGGACTGTCCCTTCATGGCCTACAGATACTGGTAATTAGTCCTTAGTCCTTCCTCCTCAACTTAATTAAGTTCCTTTAAGTCTGATTATTATAATCTTTTACACAAATAATTTATCGGTAAATGTGTGCAGGGTAGAACTTGGGTGTGGCTGGGGACGGGAGGAAGCCTGTTGTTCCTGATTGGAGGACTAGCAAATGTGGTGAAGGTGTTCAAGATGCAACAAATGGGTGATGGACTGAGGCTTGAGAAACTGCGGGGAGGGGCGCAGGAGAGGCTCGTTCGCGGAAGGGAAGGCCATGTTCCGCTTATCGTCGAAGATCATCGGAGGAGATGGTCACAAAGACCATCAGCTCGTTACGATAACAATCATCATACGCATCATGTGGAACCAAATCCAAATGTAGCTGCAGAACCAGCTCCAACTCCTTGCAAAGATGTTCTTGTTGGTCAGACAAGTTGAATAGTATATACTTAAAGGGCCATGCAGTGTAGTTTGTAAGCACTCGGTGCCAGTGAGTGATATTTTATTATTTTTCGCGTTAAGGAAGAACAAAAGGGATTTGAAAAGCTTGAGTTGCATACAAACAGTTTCCGGAAGCCACAGCTGCGAGTAAAACGCTCAACGGTCACAACAATTGGAGAAAGGAATATGACTAACTTTTGCACGATAAAGTATTACGCCAAATAACATCACAGTTCGAAATGGTTCGGTTTAGGTCTTAAACTAGTAGTATGATTGAGGATTTTCTTATTCTGTGATATTTAATCTTTAGATTCTTAGTTAAATATGCAATAATCAAGATTCAACAGTTAAAGTTCTCGATGTACTAATATTCCAAAGCACCATAAAATTTTCGGTACTTGTTTAGGACATGTTTACTTACCATGAGAAGAAACCGGGATATGAAGGATTAGGCGGTGAACAATCTAGCATCACAGTTCGAAATGGTTCAATTTAGGTCTTATGAAGGATTAGGCGGTGAACAATCTAGCATCACAGTTCGAAATGGTTCAATTTAGGTCTTAAACTAGTAGTATGATTCAAGATTTTCTAGTATACTCCGGGGTGTTCTATATTATGTGATCTTTAATCGTTAGTAAACACATGAATGAGAATAATATGAATTCATTTCTACTTCATTCTTTGTAAGTAAATTACAAGCCCTTAGTTTCCGATTTAGTTCAGTTATTTCTTCTCATAACTCATAATCAATTAACCAAATGCAAAATATTATCATATGACATAGTAGAACTTCTGACTTGTTTGATAGTTCTTAGATTGAATCAAAAGCGTTTCTCCCACGTTAAATGGTAAAAGTTAAAAGCATTTAAGGTAACCAAACACCTGAAAAATGCACTTATGCCTTTTATATTATCAAATCATAAGTAGAAAAAGACAAATAGAAGAGGTAGCTAGCATTTCTCTTTCGGAATAAAAATCCGATTTTATGCAAAACGTTACCAAATGGGTTCCAAAATAATATTTCGTTTTAAGTTAAATGGGCTCGAAGCCCACATTTCAAGTTTTGTAAATCCTTCTCTTTCTTCCTCCCGAAAACATTTTGCTGTACTAAGCAGGCAAGGTGGAGTACTGCGCAACACGGGTACTCAGTCGCAAGAACCCTAATTTGCTGACAACCCATCGAGGTTCTAGTTCCTTTCGATTCTTCAGGTACCCAATTTTCCTCCTTTTTAATCCTTTCGATTTTTTCCCCCAATTTTGATTTTCAATTCGCAATTTTCATGGTTCTTTTTGTTTAGTTCGTCTCAAATTTTGCTTTTGCCTTTTCGATTTTTCACTCTCGACATGCATGTAGTTACCATTGCTAGCTTGGCTGGGATATTGCACTTGTTATTTGCATTTTTTCACGTTTGCTGGGTTCGGCTATATTGTGAATTATTATAATTTATAAACAAGGTTGAATTTGGAGGACATTGATGTTTTTTCCCGTCATGAAAATATCCTTACTTTGATTTGCATATGCATTTACAATCGTTCACAATCAAATATACAAATAGTTACATGCATTCCATATATATGTGTGTGTGTATGTAGGGCATACGTACGGATAGCTACGTAGCCCTTTAAAACATTCCAAATAACTGCCTGATGTTTTGAAAATTGGACATCTGTTAGGTCACCCGTGATGTAAGGGATCATGTGGACAACTATTGAAGAGCGTTTTCACTCCCACATCATTTATGGAGCTCTAAATCTCTAGATCGGCTCCTTTACCCTAACTTGACTAAAAGGAGTTGATTTGGGGAATGGAGAGCTCCACAGATGACACGAGGGTGAAAACCCGATCCAACATTTGTCCACGTCATCACTTAATGCTTGTGATGAATCACTTAATGTTGGTGAGCTAATGGATGTCCAGTTTTCAAAGCTTTAGGTTGTTATTTGGAATGTTTTAAATGGTTGAGATCAATCACCTGTAACGGTTGGGCAGTTATGTGTATATATTACGGGCATGAAGTGTAATTTTTCATTGTGCGTGGTTAAGATGAAGAGTAATGAGTTCATTTTCTTGTGATGGAGAATCTAATTGTGAAATGCGTCTGGGTGTGGTGATCAGAGGGACTGAGTATTTATCTGGTGTTGTTTTGTAGGTATTGGGTTGGTATACAGAATGGCTTCTGTGTCCAGTCAGCCACAGTTCCGGTACACTCAGCCACCATCTAAGGTGCTTCATTTGAGGAATTTGCCATGGGAGTGTACAGAGGAGGAATTGATAGAACTGGGAAAACCATTTGGTAAAGTTGTCAACACAAAGTGCAATGTAGGAGCAAACCGTAATCAGGCATTTATTGAATTTGTGAGTGTAATTTCAGTTTTTAGCTTTGGTTCATTCTGCTTTTAATATATGTTTTACTGATTATATTTTTCCTTTAATATTTCATGAATGTTTTTAGGCAGATTTAAATCAAGCTATTGCAATGATATCATATTATGCGTCATCTTCAGAACCCGCTCAAGTAAGAGGGAAAACTGTTTACCTACAGTATTCCAACAGGCAAGAAATAGTGAACAACAAAACTGCCGCGGATGTTGCAGGAAATGTACTGTTAGTAACAATTGAAGGTGCAGATGCACGCCTTGTCAGCATAGATATTTTACACCTGGTAAGCAATTTTGCCTGCTTCCATGTTATAGTTAAAGAGGTAAACATTTCAGTACAAATATGTTAGCATTAAGGTATTGTGTTTGGGTTGTAAATCCTCTTGTTCTAGGGTGCTTTTGTTTGACATGAATGTGAATGGATCAGCAGGCCTATTTCAAGAGAAAATCTTCAATGGCAGCTTAGTGCATCGGGAGAAAGAGCACATGTGTGTTTGTCTCCTTTCTTCTTCTCTTAACACTACCTCTTTCTTCCCTACTCTTCCTCCTCATGATCCTAATCCTACCACTCTAATAGTGTGGACTGCTTTCATTTCTTCTCTTTTGCACCCTGCATATCCCCTTTTTTTAATTTATACATGCTTGTTTTATAGAATTTTTGTCTGTTGCTTTGTTTCGTCAGCGTGATTGTCTCACACTTTTACGTTATAGTATCTCTCAAGTGTTTAATTGCACCCCCCTTGTAAATTTAGGAGAATGTTATACAGAAACTGGCTATATGCTCTAATGAAATTTGTTAAAAGATTAATGACATCACTCTTATTTCCTTTAACTAAACTGGAAATTCATGGCCCCATAGTTCTGTACACCATTCCAAAGTAGTAAGGTTCTATTATTTTTTGTAGATAAGATAATGATTTTTAAATA